GCCATGGACTGAACCCTCTGAGACCACTGGAGCAGCCAGCCATGGACTGAACCCTCTGAAACCGGGAGCCAAATAAACTTCTCCCCAAGGAAAGTGACTAAGACACCATTGTAAAATCCTTTGGAAAATAATTTAATTTCAGCTCAGTGTTACTTTAACAACTTGAAAGCAGCCTGAGAATAGTGTTTTTCACAAATGTTTCTCTTTTGGAGCAGAAGACTGAAAGTCTTCAGAGGAGTCTTGAGAGAAGTAGGCAAAGGTTTGCAAGTACCAAGCAGTCTGGCCTCATCCTAATTTCTTAGTGGTGCTTTTCGAGCGGCCTCCACTGGAGGCCAATGCAGTGCCATTACCGGGTGCCCACATTTTCTTCAGGTCCTGTCCAATATCGACGAGCTGTTTGACAGGGGCGAGTTTTCGGCAGCCCCTGACCCTGGGTGGCCAGACTGCTTCAACAGCGGGGTGTTCGTCTTCCGGCCTTCCCTGGAGACCCACAGCCGCCTCCTGCAGCACGCCACTGAGCACGGCAGCTTTGACGGTGAGCACACGGGCACGGGCATCTGCAAGAGCGGCAGCTCGTGGCAGGGTCCATCCCTAACCCTCTGGTGTGTCCCTGTGTCCGTGAAGGAAAAGGTGAAGACAAGGGTTGGAATGCAGACGGTGGGCATGGAAGTACACGCCTGTCATGCCAGCACTCTGGGAGGCTGAGGCAGGAGATTATGAGCTTGAGCCCAGCCTGAGAAACTTACAAGACTTGGTACCAAAATTTAAAACAATTAAAAAGTGGTAAGGAAGGAACTCAGTCTAGAACTCTAGGTTCTGCACTGTGGAGAAGGAGGAGGAGACGGAGGAGGAGGAGATGGAGGAGGAGGAGGAGATGGAGGAGGAGATGGAGGGAGGAGGAGATGGAGGAGGAGGAGATGGAGGTGGAGATGGAGGGAGGAGGAGATGGAGGTGGAGATGGAGGAGGAGATGGAGGAGGAGATGGAGGAGGAGATGGAGGAGGAGATGGAGGAGATGGAAGAGGAGGAGGAGGAGATGGAGGAGGAGATGGAGGAGGAGATGGAGGAGGAGATGGAGGAGGAGATGGAGGAGGAGGAGATGGAGGTGGAGATGGAGCAGGAAATGGAGGAGGGGGAGGAGATGGAGGAGGAGGAGATGGAGGAGGAGAAGGAGGAGGAGATGGGGGAGGAGGAGAGGGAGGAGGAGGAGAGGGAGGAGGAGGAGAGGGAGGAGGAGAAGGAGGAGCGGGAGGTGGAGGATGAAGAGACTTGCAGGAAAAGTATATTCAGGAGAATAGGGAATCAGGGAGTGCGTGAAGGTAGCTTGCATGCAGCTCTGGCGTAGAATGATTTCTTAGCTTGCGCAAATCCCTGGCCTAGGTCCGCACCTGGCCCAGCCTAGAACTCTTGGGGCTGCGTGTCCAATGACGGGGTGGAGCACACGGTCAGCATGCACAGAGCCCTGGCTTCAAGCCCCTGCATCATTTTACAACATAAGGGGGCAAAGCGTGAGAAGGAGACCTTTGTAAGTAAATAATGCGGCTGGAAAAACATCAAAGGTTTCTGACCAGAAGACAGAAGCAGAAGAAAGCGTCCATTGTTTGGAATGGGCGAACAGTGCTTTCCCGGAAGAGCAGGTGATAAACGTGTCCAGTGCTTTAGCCTGTGGTGTCAGGTGCTGGTCTCCAGTTGTAGCCATGTCTGTAGTCCTAGCCTACATGGGCAGACTCCAGGAGAAACTGCTTTGAATTTTGAATGTGGATCTTTTCCTACAATGGACACTCAACAGCTCCGTGAGGCAGGTGTCACGGTGACCATCTGTCCTCACATCTAGGAGGCTGAGGCAGGAGGATTGCCAGTTTGAGCTTAGCCTGGGCAGTTTAGCACCTCAGCCAGACCCCAAGTCAGTATAAAATTTAAAAGGATCTTTCTCAGTGCCAGCGCCCTGGATTTAATCCAGAATGGCGCAAAGTGTGTGTTCAGTGAATTGAAGATGATGATGTTTTCAGCTTTCTGTGAGTTTAAGGGAGCATAATTCCACCATCAGTAAAGCATGTTTGGTAGTGCAGTGACCACCAGTAGATCGGCACCGTGCTGTGAGTTTTGGAAAGTAGAAGAACATGGAGGCACCGTGGTCAGCTGCCTGCGGTTGTTGGTAAGAAGCCTGCAGAAGCAATGGGAGCTTACGGCCCCATTCCAGGGGTGCTGAGTGAGCTACATCCCCAAGCTGTCTCTATTTTATTTTTATTTTGAGACAGGATCTTGCTCAGTGGCTAAGTTGTGCGCGCTGGGCTCAAAGCAGTCACCCTCCTGCCTCAGCCTCCCAGCTACTGCTGTGGAGGATTATGGCTAAAGCATTTTGGAGAGAATGTGCACTTGCTTTTAGTCATCGGGGCGGGGGGACCAGTCGCTTGGGGGAAGAAGTATCAGTAGTCATTCAGACACTTCTCCTGCCCTGCCTGGTCCTTTACTAACTTCTGTTTGTCTTGGTGAATGATTCAGGGGCCGACCAAGGGTTGCTGAACGCTTTCTTCAGGAACTGGGCAACAGCCGACATCCACAAGCACCTGCCGTTCATCTACAACCTCAGCAGCAGCACCGTGTACACCTACGGCCCAGCGTTCCAGCAGTGAGACCCCCACATTCCCAACCCGTGGGCCAGGCCGGCTTCTGGGTGGCCTCTGTCTCCCAGGTTTAGGAGGGCTGATGGGAAGACGCGGCGGATGGTGACAGTTTTAACAGTGTGTATCGTTACAAGAACACTGCCTTGAATTCTCACCCAAATCCTCCCTGGCCTTGCACACCCTCCTCCCACTGGCCTGGCCAAGTCTCGCAGCAGCTCTGGGGTCCTCTTTCCTGAGGTCTTCACCAGGTGTGATCAGAAACACAGTGACTGCTCTGCTGGGCGCCGTCCAGCGGAAAGGCAGCTCGGGAACACACGGTGCTGTGTCCTCCTCCACCCGAGTCACCATGCAATTCCTGGCTCCTCCCCAAGGTCAGAATGACCGGGAAAGGTCATCGTTTTGAGTCCACTCAGGACACTGAGGCAGCCGGGATGGCGCAGCTAAAGACCCTCAGGAAAGAGGACTCCAGAGCTGCTGCGAACAGCGGCCAGGACGGCGGGAGGAGGGTGTGCACAGCCGGGGAGCATTCTGAGGGGATTCACGGCCATGTGTCTTTTACTGTCTTAATTTATTTTTAAAAATTAAACATTGTAGGGCCGGGGATTTAGCTCAGCGGTTTCGCTGCCTGCTGCGCAAGTGTAAGGACCAGAGTTCGATCCCTGATACCAAAAAAAAAAAAAACTAAATTAAACATTGTATTTTTCCATCGCTCCTTATACATCAGCCTTCGGTATAGTGAAAACAGTTACGGCACCCACTCTGTCAGTGCACTGCTACAATTTAGGGAGATTCAGAGATTTATGACAGTGGTCCCCAAAAGTGTCATCCAAGGGACCTTACGGGGTTTCCCATAAAAATAACTGTAAGATGTTATTTTCCACCTTCCTGCATTTTCTCATGAGACCATGGTGGAATTGTATCAAAGCTAAATAGCGTGTGATACTGAAATGCACTGAAGAGAGACATATATGAGAAGTCAGCTGTCTCTTCTCAGGTTCTAAAAGTTGACATAACAGTGTGCTTAGGATTGGCCAAAAATGTCGGGCAATAGGTTCCATATTTCCCATAGTGTTTTAAATCGAGGGGACTTTTTATGTGGGAAAATGTGTGATGTTTATGTTCTGAGGTAGTGGGTTGATTCCGAGGTCTTCTGATATAGCAGAAATGGTTAAAAATGAAGGTAGAAAACCAGAGAATCATCCACAGAGGATTCTGAACCATGCATTTTCAGCTCGTGGCCTGGGACAAAGCAGAAATTGTTTGTTGTGCTGGGAAAAGAATTTTTCTGCTTTTTTTAAAAAAATTTCACTGTGTGGAGATTGTATGTAGGGTACCCTGAGTAGATGCATGATGTGGTTTTGGTGTTGAAATTTCATAGGGCAGCGATTAAAGAAAAGACAGTGTCTCACCAGGCATGGAAGGAGGCAGGGATCATCAGCACACCAGGAAGAACAGTCGAGAGGAGGAATTTCAGAATTCCAGGAGCTTTTTGTTTTTTTAAAGAAAAAAAAAAAGATAATTGCTGCTTTGCAGTCTGCATTGTGTGCTCTTAAGCATTATGATGTTTTTGTCGTCATCATTTTAAGGGTTTGACGCTTTTTAGCTGCCCGTCTTTGAAATGGTGATTCATCCTCCCGGTTTTAGGGAGAATCTCAGTATTTTATGATTCTCCCTGTCGTTTACCGAAAATGATACGGGGGTGGGTCGGAGGATGTAGCGCAGGGATAGTGTGTTTGGGGATCAGAGCAGGGAGGCCCTGGGCTTGATTCTGAGCACTGCACAACATTTAAAACGAGAGAGAGAAAAAATAAATAAGACGAGAGAAAGAGAATGAAATACCAATCGAGTGTCCCTAACCCAAAGACCCCAAATCCAAAATGCTCCAGAATGCAAAACTTTCTCGGCACTACCGTGACGCTACAGGTGAGAAACCCCTGGATCAGAAATGCGCTAAAGCTTCCGTACGAAATTCCCACCAGGCTGCGTGTGAGAGGTGTGTGAACCACAGTGTGCACTTTCCGACTTCGGGGTTTTAGCAGTTTCTTTAAGTCCTCGACTTTGAGCCACTGTCATCCACGGGATCCCATTTCCACAGCGTCTGATTCCACCGGGCTGGGGGATCCCTGCATCCGTGGGCTGCGGCTCTGGCCCCTTCTCGGTGGAAATCGGAATCTGCCCTGTGTCCTCCTCAGATTCGGGGCCAGTGCCAAGGTGGTGCATTTTCTGGGGCCCAGGAAGCCCTGGAATTACACGTACAACCTGCAGACCGGTTCTGTGGTGGAGCAGGGTTCGGGCGTCGCCAGCCGGCAGCAGGAGCCGTTTCTCGGCCTCTGGTGGAGCGTCTACCACGGCCAGGTGCTGCCGCTGTATGCGCATGGCCCTGCAGCCCGGAGGGACGCATCTCCCGGCCCCGCGGTAAGGGGCCCCTCGGGTTTCCCTCCTCCTCTGTCTCCGAGTCTGGGTTTGCAGGGGGTCACGATCAGGCTCCTCGTGTGGAGCTGGTGCACGCACAGAGCACAGCCCCGTCCTCCTCCATCCCCTCTCCCTCCCTCTCTTGTGTCCTGGTCCCCTTCCCTCTGAGGAGGATCTGTCTCCCTTCTTCCTGTCCTCTGTGTTTCATTTTGCTCTTCATGTATACTTTGGGTTTCTCATTAAGAGAAAGCATGGGATATTTCAGTGTATGTTCTGATATGTTTTCCTCAGCACTGTGGACTCAGGGTGTGTCTCTTTTCCTGCAAATGACTCACTTTTTCCTTCTTTATGGCAGAGTAGTACTCCATGGTGTGTAAACACATTTTCTTTAATCATTCATCTGCTGATGGACATAGAGGCTGCTGCCAGGGTGTAGCTCTTATGAGTTGTGCTGCTATAAATACGGGTGTGCACGGATCCCTGCTACATCCCCAGTGGTTTTAAATGTTTTATTTTTTTTACTTTGTGAAAGGTCTTGCAAATCCTCCTGCCTCAGCCTCCCAGGGTACTAGGATGACAGGTGTGCACCACCGCACCAGCTCTGACACACCGAATACCTAGGCACGTACATGCATGACACTAAACACGTATGTGCACATGTACCACCGATGCCAGTACCTCCAGGCACACAACCAAAACACACGTGCCAACTTGCACATATATACACTGGACACATCTCAAGGTGTGCACACATGAAAGCTTGTGCGTACAAACACGTGTTCTTACCTGGTCCCTGACTACACACCTCTGCACATCCACACATATGCGCATCACTGACACATAAAGAAAGTGGGTTTTTCCTCTTGTCTTTTGAGACGGGGTCTGGCTAAGTCTCTAGGAGGCCCAGAGTGGGCTCGGACTTGGGATCACGTGTGTACACTACCCTGCCTGATCTGAGCTTGCATTTAATGAGAACAGATGGGAGGGTTCGCTGAGTGAGTGTGTCTGTCTGTGTGCATGCAGGTTTGTCTCGGTGGTCCTGATGTCTCGTGTGGAAACTCGGCATCCGGAACCAGAGAACTCTGTGTAAGTTCAGCCTCCAGCATGGAGGTTCTGCCACGTGCGACTCCGGCCCTGGAGCCTGACGCCGAGGTGGGTGAGACAGATCCCTCCTCTGAAGACTGCCGTTCAGAAGATGTAAGTACCGGCCTTCCTCACTGGGGTGGAGATTTGGGCTCCGGATCCCCAAGGAGTGAAAGAGACGGGCTTCAGATTCCCGGGTGTCAGGGACTCCTACAACCGTTTGGGTTATGGTAGATTGAATGATCGTCTTCAGCCAAGGGTCTCCATCCGATCCCAGGACTCTGGGAATGTGGCCACCCATGGTAAAGGGACTTTCTAGACTTGAGGAGGGATGTTGAGGTGGGCCAGGGATGCTGGATGATCTCAGGCAGCTGGTGGTCACATTGTAAGCATCCTTGCCAGAAATGAATGCATTGTGTCTAGAGCTCGTGGAGGGCCAGTGAGGGAGAGTCATACAGAGTGACCCCGCTTGGACGTATGTCATCTGTATTCAAGTGTTAGAGTTGAGAAGAACCCCTGAGCCTTGGGGAAGACACAGAGCAATCAGTGGCAGGTAGGCGGGAGAGAGTCTTGACAGCAAGGTGTTGACTGTCTGAGAGATCTTGTGCTCAGCTTTGTCCAGAATGCCCAGCCACCCAGTGCACTGTGAGTGTCGGTTCATTGTGCTCCTGACGGCGGCTGTATGGAGCCTGTGGTTTGTGCCTGGCATCAGAAGACGTAGGCTGGTGCGCAGCTGGAAGTCCAGCTATCTGGGAGGCTGAAGCAGGAGAACCTCAAGTTCAAGGCCAGCCTGGGGAACTTAGTGACCCAAAGACAGCCTAAGACAAAAAAGAGGAAGGAGGAGGAGGAGGAGGAGGAGATGGAGAAGATGAAAAAGGAGAAGAAAAACAGGAAAACGGAGGAGGAGGAGATAAAAACTAATTGTGCTACACATCAATAGCCTGGAAAGAGGAGAAGGAGAAAAAAGAGGAAAAAGAGAAGGAAAAACCAGAGGAAAAAGGAGGAAGAGAAGGAAAAGGAGACTAAGCAGGAGGAGGAGGAGGAGGAGAGGACAAGAAATTGTAGTACAGTACACATCAGTAGCCTGGGCAAAAGTCAGCATCTAAAATGCAAAGCGGGGTTTTCCCCGAGTTTCTCGAAAGTCAGAAGATTGGAAGCGAGCACATTGTGCGCCAGGGATGAGGTCGGTCTGTGCGTGTGGCAGGGACACGAAGCCCGAGGCTGGGGTTGAAGGGAGGGGCTTTACACAGCTCGCAGTCTGGCTTGGGAGGCTGCCAGCCCGAGACACGGGACTCGGGAATGGGGTCACTGCCGGGTGGGTCCCAGCATCCAGATGCATCTGCGTACCCGGGGCCTCCGCACATGTACGTTTAATAAAAACAACAGAACCGAAAAACACATGTGCTGCAGCTGGGGCTGGAGGCACACGCCTGTGACCGCAGCTCTGAGAGGTTGAGGCGGGAGGGTTGAACGTTTGAGCCCGGCCTGGGCAACTCAGCATGATTTTGTTTCAGAGAGAAAATAACCCTGAAAGGAGCTAGGGAAGGTAACTCAGTACTTCTGGGGTTCAGGCCCTAGCACTGAAAGGATGTGGGAGAGAAGGACAGGACAGGACAGGTCAGGATGAAGGAAGGGAAACAGGAAGGAAAGAAACAAACGTTAATGGAATAAAAATAATACAGAAGAAAGGAAAGGACGGAGGGAGGGAGGGAAGGAAGAAGAAGAGAGACACACATTAAGGAAAGAGAAACATTGATGGAGTAAAAATAATACAAAGGGAAGAGAGAGAAAGAAAAAGCCAGAAACCTCGATGGAATAAAAACAGCAGAACCGCGGGCCTGTGCCGCGGGAGGCGGACCTAGAATCTGCCCCCCGCGCTTTGTGGATTCGTCCTCGTGGACCGGGGTGATCGTCAGGACTGGGGGTTTCCGTGGGTCACGGCGCTCGAGGCCACTACCCCGTGGAGCGCCCCACGGCAGAGGGGACCCGGGTGGAGACAGCGGCGGTGCCGTGGGCTTCTCTTCCGCTGCTTGTGGGGACCCGAGCGGCTCCATCTGGTCCCCACCCCGTGAGCTCCTGCACCCAGAATCACCACCCGATGAGCTCAGGCCCGGAGCCCAGCCTTGCCGCGAGACCCCCCCCCCCACGGGAGACCCCCACGGAAGGAGCGTGAGTGTTTCTCTGCCAGCGACGGACGCGTTGCACGGTGAGAAGGAAAGGGAAGCCCCGCGGTAGGAGCAGGTGGGGTTCCTCAGGTCCTCCGGTGGGTGTCCTTGGGTGCAGTCACGGCTGCGGGCCGTGTACTGAGTTGCAGACTCGAGGCCTTTTATTTTGGTCCAGACGACAACAGCCAAACGTAGCCATTTGTGTCAAGCTCCCACCGCCGTACAGAAGCTAAGTCTGCGTCGTAAACCTCTTTATTTTAAAAAGCAACTTCTATACGTATCCCGATGGGGCTTTCTGGCGCTGGACATAATCCGTCGGTGTGTTAGGAATTCTGCCCCGATAGAAAGACTATTCTGCAACTTAAGCTGATGTTTCTTTGGATGTATAAGTTAATCCTAAAACTACCAATATCCCCAATATTTTGAGCTTTCTACTTTATAGAGTTGGTGTTTCTCTGTCTGTAATTTCTGCCAACAGTGCTTATTTATTTCTGCAGCAGCCTTCAGATAGGATTAGACTTGCTCCCAGATTTTGATCCTAATGTAAATTGTGCTCTGTTCTTGCTGTTTGATACGAGAGTATACAAAGCCACCTTGGAGGGGCTGGGGATTTAGCTTAGTGATTCTGCCGCCTGCCTTGCAAGTGCAAGGTCCTGAGTTTGATCCCCGGTACCAAAAAACAAAAGAAAAACCACCTTGGAGTTATTTTTGTCACTGTCCTGGGGATTGAACCCAAGGCTTTGTTCATGCTAGGAAAGCCCTTTGCCGCTGAGCTACGCTTCCAGACACCTTTCAAATCCACGTCCAGCAACTCTGCTCAGTTTTCACCCAGGAGCCCAAGTTGGGCAACTTTGTGAGATCCAGTCGTGTCTCAGAATTAAACATCAAAAAAGGCTGAGGATGTAGCTCAGTGTGAAGGCCCCGAGTTCGGTCCCCGGTAACCACCCCCAAATAAAGGCATCTGGGAATAAAAACTGGTAATTTCTTAAACCTTAAATCTTGAAACCTCCTATATAATCCAGCTCCTTACCCCAAGTTGTCTACTCTAGAGAAATGTAATCATACACCCAGGCAAAGACAAACAATAGATATATTATATGATAGCCACAAATTGGAAATAACCAAAAGCTATGAACAAACTGATGCATTGCTGAAATGGAATAGTACTCAGCGACGAAAAAGAACAGACTTTGGTACACACAACAGACTGGATTAACTGGCTGGAGTGTCAGTACTGCTTTGAAATTCTCCAACTTGTTGTATATTTCATAAAGTATTTCCACATTAAGTCTATGCCACATAAATCATTTAACATGAGTTCACGGGGGTTCAGCTTTGCTGTTTGCTTTTAGTTTCTCTTGATTTTTCACTCGTGTTGTCTTGGCTTACCTCCCTCCCTCCGTGCCTCCTTCCATTCTTTCTTTCCTTGCTTCCTTTTTCCCTTACTTTTCTTCCTCCTCTTCTTCCTCTCCTCGTTTCCCATTCTTCTCTTCCTCCAGTTCCTGTTCTTTCTCATCTCTACCATCTCTGTCTCTCTGTCTCTCTGTGTCTCTCTGTCTCTGTCTCTCTTTTGACTTTCTGGCATGACAGGAAATTTTCAGCTTTAAGATTCTGTTAAGTTTCAGTCTTTTCTTGTCAAGGTGACCTGAACTTCAGGCAGCCTTTGAGAGAAAGCGTCAGTGAGATAATTATCAGCTCAGGATAAAAATGAATGCAGTTTGTAAAAATCACCTCGGGTACTCGTGTGCCTGTGAGCTTGCAGAAATGCTGTGAGAGGCTGGCTTTGTTCCACGATGCTGTTAAATTCTCATCGCAGATTTCTGTCTGTCTGACATGCAAAGAAGGAATTATTAAGAATAAGGAGACGGGGGCCGGGGATTTAGCTCAGTGGTGCCGCTGCCTGTTTTGCAAGTGTAAGGTCCCAAGCTCAGTCCCTGGTACCAAAAAAAAAAGAGAGATTGGTTTATGCATTTTTAGTACATTTTGAGTGCTAGTATTATTTTAATGTCTCTTGGTCTTGATCAGAAGTGTTAGGGTTGACGAGGTCTGGTGGTGCATGCCTGCAATACCAGCACTCTGGGAGGCTGAGGCAGGAGGACTGCACGTTTGAGCCCAGCCTGGGCAGTTTAGCAACTTAGGGAAACCGTGTTTCACAATAAAAAAAAAAATTTTATAAAGGCTGGGGATGTAGCTCAGTGTTAAGGCTTTGGATTCAATCCCCAGGACTCTAGAAAAGAGGGAGGGAGGGAGGGAGGGAGGGAGGAAAACCAGCAGTAGCTGTGAAGTTCCCCCATCAGCCCTCATAGAATTTCTGCATCCTCGGCTAAGACAAATACTGTGAAAGAGACATAACTTGGCATTTTCTGGCCAGAGCAAGGCTGGGGGACAGGCAGCCCGGGCCCTCGTGTGGTGACTCTGGGTTGCACACAGACCAGCCTGCAGATTAAACCAGCTGCCTGTGTGCAGACTAAACCTGACCCGGGAGAGACAGAGGACAAAGGTGTCTCCCTCCCTGGGTGTGGGGACAGCAGGGATTCAGGCCCAAGAGCCCTTTCCTTCCCAGCCGGGGCTGATGGGACACACGCAGGATCTGCTGTGGCCCTGGTCCTCGAGGTTCCTGAGGACCCTGTCATTCTGCTTTAGGTGGCAGCTATTAGAGCTTAGTCTTGTTTGAATTTGACAGGTACAATGAAGATTCAGAAGGAGCCTGCATTCTAGTTAATAGGAATTTCTGAAAAAAAATATTTCTCCTGGATTTGTTGAGGTAGGATTGATATGTAGAACTTGATGCTTTGATGTACACAGTCACTTCCTCATGGGCTTATCTTGCCTTCTTCCCCTCTCCTCCTCCTCTTCCATTTCCTCCTTTTCCTCCACTTCCTCCTCCTCCACCTCCTCC